CGAGCTATCGTGAAACGTTCAGTAAAAGAGTCTTGAGAGTCTTGCTAGGAGGCGTACTCACGTGTTGATTGGTTTGTTGCGCGAATACAAAAAGCCTTGAAAGCCTTGGAGACTCCGCTACTTATTATTTTGTTGTTTTAGACAGACTGTGATGGACCACAACCCCCGCTGCCCCTCTTCTGCTCTCCGCGATTGTACAACCTTTTTATCAGCATCGGCATCATCATCATCAAATCTTGTTCCATTATTCACATCGGCACTATCCTATATCGACCAAAAATTATACCTCGCAACGAGTCGCAAAGGGGCACCGAAGTCGGAGGTTGTTGGTTCGTGGTCACAGCGTACTGACAATACAATGATATTCTTTGCACAAATGTGTACCCTTTGCTAGCTCAATAAATTAGTCTTGCAAAGCGATTTCTTACTTTCTGGTTCAGATTACAATAGAGTGTGAGAGAGTGAGATACTTCACCTTGAATCAAACAAGACTCCGATCGGCACCGAACATTTCTATTACTACATCAATAAGGGCTATATACTGTTACAGTAGGCGTGCTCAGTCAGAGAAAGAATCCTCGGATATCGTAGTTGCACGTCGAGCAGAAGGATCTGGTAGCCCCGACCTTACACGAATGACTATTTCAATAGTTGCCTTGTTACGAGTTTGCGTACCACCCTCTTCATCTTCATCCATAGGGATGACCTCGTCCATTACGCTAACAGAGCCCGTCTTAACAGATGTTTTGATTTCCTCTGGGCTAAAAGGGAGAATACCGGGCAATGAAGTTGCTAGCATAACCGCATGCGGTATTGCAGCACCCATCGCTGATAGAAACAACTCTTTATGACTACAGAGCGTTTAGCCTACAACTCGTTGTGCTGTATAGGTAATTATCATTTGAAATGGACTTACCCTCCTTTAATAAACACGTCCTTACACTGGGAGAGATACGCGCCCAGGTTTGTCTTACGAGTCACACAGATCTTGTTACCGCCTTCAGCCCGTTTAGACTTGGGTCCTGTCGCATTGGACGAGGTCGGGACAGTTGGATACGGGCGATGAGGAGCCAACTTGACAATCTTGGGTCGTGGCTTGAACGGAATTTTGCTCGGTATCTTTTTGTTCTGCAACTTTTGCTTTGCAGGCTTTCCTTCGTGTGGCGTGCTTTCAGAGCCATTTTTCGCATCTTTACTCCTTGCGGTTCCCTCTCTCAGCTTTTGCTTGGACTTTGAGCCCGATTTAGATTTGGAAGAGGGCGCCAATGTTGCCTCTGATTGCTGGTCATGACTGTTCGTTCGGATGCGATTGTCTTCTGCATTGTCTACAGCTTGTTCTTCTTCACGCTTCCGCTTCAGAGTCATTGATTCAACGGTATTCACTTATAAATCGAGTTTGTTGCGCAAATACTGGAAGGGCCCAAATAGAGCAGGGCACCAAAGTTCGACTTTACCACTGCCACTGCCAATTTGCGGCCAGCGTCAAATATGAGCACAGAAGCAGAACAAAACATCCAAACATGGAAGGTCAGGAAGCTTATAAAAAATCTCGATGCTGCCAGAGGGTACGTTTCACTTTTTTGGGCAGACTCATGTTTGCCACCTAGGAAGATTACACGAGGCTGATCGGGTCCTACTTCAACAGTGCTGGAACATCTATGATTAGTCTTATCATTCCTCCAAAGGTAAGTTTCAGATCGCTTCCATCAGCACCTGCAGGGCGTTGTTTCCAATCGCCCAAGCCTGATGAAGCGTATCTCGCCTTACATCAGTAACTTGCGGATATTGACGCGTGCCATTGATAGGATCAAATTTCACGAGTTTCAGCAATGTTGACGCAAGAATATGGTACAGCGTCCAACATCAAATCTCGTGTGAACAGGCTGTCTGTGTTGGCGGCAATTACGAGTACACAACAGCGTCTTAAACTCTATAATCGCGTTCCACCAAATGGGCTAGTCCTTTTTGTGGGAACTATTCTCACTGATGAAGGAAAGGAGAAAAAAGTCAGTTTTGACTTTGAGCCGCACAAACCAATCAACACGTGAGTACGCCTCCTAGCAAGACTCTCAAGACTCTTTTACTGAACGTTTCACGATAGCTCG